TCCTGCTCAGTTGTTACTTTGATCGGGGGTGCATAGAACCCTATTCCTCTTTTGATGTTTCCATGGGAGTTTTGAAAACAGCAAGCTTCATTCCTGGCCATTGCTGTTGATCTTTTTTTTTCATAGTCATCTGTCCAGAGTACTCTGGGGCTTGTTCTGTGAGTGACAGCAATCTGTTCTCAGAAATCTGTCTACGGTGACTATTCAAGTCAGTTCCCAACTGTCATCCAAATCAGTTCATCAGCATTTTACTAGCGTTTAATCAATCCATAATCAACATCCGGACAGTGCTAAACTAACGCTCGATCTGCAGGCATCTCAACAGTACTTAGTCCGTCCTTTTCTGTTAGCAATTAATCAGTGATATTCAGTTTGCAATCAGGAGTTAACCAGCAGTTGACAGACATTTGATTGACACTCGGTCAGTGCTCTGATAACGATCTCAGTGGTGTTCAACTTTCACAGTTAGCTATCAACCAGCATCCAGATAAGCAATCAGCTAGCAACCAGTTAGCAATCGTTCAGCAACCAATCAGCAACCAGTCCGCAATCAATCAGCAATCAATCAACAATCGATCAGCAATCAGTTTTCGATAATTGATTCGACAATTAGTCCTCAGTGATCATCTAGTCAGTCTGCGCCGGCTAGTTTACTCATGAGCACAGTTCAGTCTACGCTGGTCAGTGAGTCAGTGCTGGTCAGTCTCAATCGGATTTCATGCAAGGAGGCGTTCCGCTATCAGTATGTTAGTGCCATTGGTTTTATACAAGGAGATCTGTCGATCTTCGTTGTCCAGACCAGTTTTGCGGATGACACTATTCACGATCTGAGGCCCTATCTGAAGAAGGGCAAGGAGGCTCATGAGCATTTTGATCCGGTCTGGATCTCAACTACCAAATACCTCGAGCAGAAAGAGAAGGAGCTTGATGAGGGTGGCACTACGCTGATCCGCAGCTTTGGGCCAAAGCTTTATACTGACTATCACAGGCCTCTTGTTCCTTCCCTCCTCACAGATGGCACGAGTTGGCTGGATATGATTGGCTTGGCAAAGAGGTACATCTCTCCAGCAGTGATCGGCATTGAGGCGCTGACTGAGCCGACCGAGTATCCCTATCTCAGACGAGGAGTCTTCTCCGTGGACGGGCTGCCTACACTGTAGGAGAAGCTCTGCTCTATGGTCAACTTTCGTGTCATGTACCTTGGATGGTCATGTTCAGAAGTTGTTGGCTTCATGTGACTCTTTGTCACGAGGCCTCAATCTCAGACTGTACGCGGACGTGGGTCACAACACCAGAGATGAACAACGAAACGGGAAATTGAGAGAGACTGACCAAAGGGATGGGTGAGGATTCTTGAGAGGTGTTGACCATGCTCGCTTATATGTACTTTCTGAGATTATTATGAGTTATCATTCTTCCCTCATTCGATTGCCCCTGTCATTGTTCGAGTTAGTCGGTCTTGCTTCTTGCATTGTCCTCGTTTGATGATTGCTCATGTGGATCACTCTGACACAGTTCTCAAAGTCAGATTGACATAATTGATGCATGCATAGCACCCCATAATCTTATGATTGTTATTTGCATGACTCTATGCTGTTCCGAATCAAAATAAAAGATTCATAAGACCGGGGACCGGCGAAGACCGTAATTGAAGGGTCTCGCTCGAAGCCGGACGCACATAACAGGAAGGGATTTGCATTATTTAATTTATTTTATTTATTGCAATCACATACAAAATCCTGTGTGATAGCCTGTTGGTTTTCCGGTCACCCGAAGCGGTTCGACTTGAAAAAGTGCGACAAAAATGGCGCCGTTGCCGGGGACATGAAAAAATTTTGTGTCCGAAACGAGCCTGGGTCATCATCATCTTTGAGCTTTGATTAGGGCATGAGAACTGTTGACAACGTTGTGAGTTTTTCATTGATCTTACTATTCTCATTGAGTCTCGATTCTCCTGAGAGTCACGGATGCTAACTGTGTCTTATTTCTTTCTTGTCTGAGGTACCACACTGACCTGGAGAAGGAGACTGATATTGTTGACTGGAGAAGGCTTGAATTCAGGTATGCTTTATGAACCTATGATGTCTTTTAAACACTGAGAAGGGAAAGGAAGAATCGAGAGCACGGGAAATCCATCAAGAATGCTAAATCCATCAAGAATGCTAACTTCTGATGCATTGAGAGAACTTTCGAAAGTAACTACCGAAGGAATATTCCCCTATCAGTATGAGCATTGTTGGATCTACCGTTCAGGTAATTCGGCCATCAGCGTAGTGCAGGCTCGCTTCTTGGAGAAAGATGTTTATGATATTTGTCCCTATGTCAAGAAGGGAGACTGTGACGACGGTGAGAATTGCAATCCAGGCTTTTTATTATGAGAAGGCAAAATTAATTAAGCAGAAGAAGAAAGTGGAATGGGGTTTAATGTCAGTGACATATGAGACTGTTCTGATTCCTCCTATACCTGACAGCTATTGTGATGGGACTAACCGACTGTCGATAATCAACATGGTATTGACAAGGGAGAAAATAAACCGTGGTCATGAGAACTAGAGAGATTTCAGCAGAAGAAATCGGGTAGAGAAGGCAGAAATTCGGCAGAGGTTCAGGTCCAAGTCAGGAGGAAGTTAAGTGTCTTCTAAAGTCACTGAACACTCTAAGTAAGAAAGGGGTGTTCCCATATGAGGTTGTCAGATATGAGATGGTCGAGAGCGGATGAGAACAGGAACGGTTATATGTACTGACATTCTATTTTACGGATCTGGATGTGTATGATGTAAGAATCTATGTTCCAAAAGAAAGAAGTGTTGATGCAGTGTATGGGAGATGCTGGGGGTTTGCTGAAGAGGTAGTACTGAAAGAGAAAGAGAGGCTTGAGAAAGAGAACAAATGTTTCACTGGATCGACTCGATTTACAGTTTTTGATGGGCTCCCTGTTCCTCCTTTACCTGATATTAATCTATCTAAAGACAACCGGTATGCCATGATAAAGTTTGCATGGAAAGTGAAGAGAGTTCAAGAAGAATACTCTCAGTAGCCAGGGTGACTACTGTGAGGGGTAAACTCTATGAGGTGATAGGATGTGATAATCCTTCTGTGATCCTGAGGTATGAGACTCGTGAGAGAGGGCCCATAATATTTCACATCCCAATGGTCAAATTTCTGAGTACTTGCAGCCTGGACGTATGGATTTATGTACCAGCAGGCCTAAAAAAGGAAGGTGACTACTTGAAGTGTCAGATAAGTGCTTATATTAGTCTCATAAGAACTAAGGAATGACTTGAAAAGCTAAAGAGAAAAGAAACCTGAGGGAAATAAGTAAGACAATTTAAGAGGCTTCCTGAGTTCTCAATTGCTAAGGGATTTGAAGACAGGAAAGATTGGATGCCTCTGTTGGAAGCCACTGCTGAGATTGGTAGAGCAAGAGAAAAAGACTCCACTGTGATGATGAAATCCCTACTTTTGAGTACCTTTGAACACAGATTTGAGATCCCTGGTTTTGTCCAACCTGAGATCTACCTTTCAGATATTGCTTATGATGTTTAGCGATGTCCAGCTTGACTGAACAGCTGAAATTAGAAGTTGTGTTGGAGGGTAGAATAGTCAAAGTAGAAGAGACTCTTCGGATCTCTGACAGAAATCTTTCTACCCTAGATGAGCTTGAGTTCTTGCAGCGTATGTTGCACGCTGGCCGCGGCCGAGTTCGACCTAGGCCGGAACCCCCCCGGCCGCGGTCGGCCCAACCGAGTTTTTTCGGCCACGGTGTCGGTCGATCTGGGGGGCCGTTTTCGAAGCTGGGAGCGGGTT